GGCCCCGAGCGCCTCCGTGCGCGTCCTCGGCGGCCAGAAGCGCCGCCCCGAGCGTGCGCCGCCGCTCGAGCTCCCCCCGATGCCACCGGCCCGTGCCAGCCAGCCTCGGGCGGAGGAGGAAGAGGGCCCCGTCGCCGCCGAGCCGCGCGGGCTTCGCCCGGCGACCTCCGCCGGCAGCGGCGAGGGGAGGAGGGGAGGGTGGGTGGGTGCTGGCGGCGGCTAGGGTTTGCTCCCGAGCCGCTCGCGGGAGCGACACGGGAGCTCTCCTGGTACTCCTAGTACACACTCAGCATTTCGATAAGTAAACTTTCCGATCTATTCATAATCAATAATGGTAGTACATGACTAGAGGTAAAAATTACAACCAGGTCCATGAACCATGTAGTGACACGCCGGCGACTACAAACACTAGAGCGAGCCAAGGGCGCGCCGCCATCATCGCCCCTCCCTCACCGGAGCCGAGCAGACCTTGTTGTAGTATACGGTCGGGAGTATGTGTTTAGCGAGTTTTGTTTTACTACTAGTGAGAATTGCTAGGACTGATTACTACTTCCTCCATCCCATAATATAAGAGCGTTTTCGATACTGCACGAAGTAAACTCTTGTGATGTGGCGTCCTCGTCGGTCTTGTGGAAAGCAAGGTTGGGGCATGGTGAGCTAAAGATCGTCAACTCCATGCATGCTCACTGGCATGTCTGAAGCTGGCTGGTGCAGAGTGCACCCAGGACAGTAGTCAGTAGTTGTTGATGACGTGCGGCACATGAAGGGCCCCAAGGTGTATTCGGTTCCGGCTTTCTCTGTTGCCGTGGACTCGCTGACTCGGACCAATGCGGAGGTGGAGCTGGGTGTCGACGGCCCTCGTCAAGGTAATCAATCCTTTTGTACTGACTGATCCGTTGCTGGGTGTAGAAAACTGGACAATTGTCAGGCCTATGCTGACAGTCATACTGTACACAGTAGTACCTTGCATTTGTCATGTGGTGGAGGCGATAATTCAGCGTTGATTCTTGATAGGTTCATACTTCATACCAAGAAGGAAACTAATGTATTGCGATGAGTGTCTGTGTTCTTGATGCATTGCTGTGTATGCCTGACGACATTGATCAATCGGTTGTGCTCCTCTGTAAGTGATGGCCAACTGGTTGCAGGTGGCGCGCACCAGAATGTTTGATCAAGACTAGATGAGATGGCGTCGCCGGAGCACCTAGATCTGACCATACATGTGGAGTCTGAAACCAGTTGAGTTCACTGCTGTCCCCGAGACTTCGTTTGTGCTGTAAGTTCAGTTAAACATTCAGTTTTTAGAACAAATTCAGTTTCAGCTAGTAAATATTCAGAATTTTAGAACAAACAGAAAGACAAACAAGAACATACATGCATGCTCCTATTTATGGATGGCTTTCTTTGCTTTGGTGAGCTTTGGGTGATACTCTAGTTACAAACGCCAGAAGCATAATGTGCATATTTTCTCAAAGTAGCAAGTGACTGAATGTGGGATCAAAAGTAGAAGAACAGAACATGAACTGGAAAAGGAGAGATGTGATGTCCTCTACTTCTGTTGCTATGGGCATGGAAATCACATATGCATGGCCTTTTTCCCTGTTGCTCCCTAGCTCAGCATATGCAAGCACCATTCTTCTTTGAACAAAAAAATAATAATGTTTGCGCTTTGTAAACTGATTTCGTATGTGGCGCATCTTCCTAAACTTTTACAAACAAACAGCTTCAGAAGACAGATACGATCTCTGAAATTAAACAAAAGTTTTACTTTGGGTAGAAAGTTTTCACTAGTTGAACAGAAGGGGGTTCTGAAGCGAATTTTGAGAGCATGCTTGAGCTGAATGCAAAGTGTACAAGAACAGAGCCGCTCACGTGCCCATCCCTTCCCTCCCCTCCCTTCCTCACTCCTCGGCCTCCTCTCTCTCCCACTCACTCACGCGCGCGCACACGGAGCTAGCCAAAGGAAGGGGAGAGGAATTGCCATTTCGGGAAGTAAAAGGGGAACCGATGGCCGCCGGCGACGTCGCGACGGTGTTCCTCGAGATGAGCCTCGGCACCCGCCTCGCCGTCTCCTTCCCCGCGTCGTCCACCACCGTCGCCGATCTCAAGCGTACGTACCATTTTCTTTGAGCTGTTCTTGCTTGTCTACCTGGCTGGCTGCTTGGCCGGCTTCAAGCTACGACGAATGAACCAATCCTCCTGCCTCTAGAACAGATCTTGGCATTTTAATTCTTTCTCTTGGTTGCAATTGCAAATCGAGTCGAATCAATTCGGCCTGAGCTGACAAAACCCCAATCCTCTTCTTCTTCTTTCTTGCGGCGAAAAACCCCAATCTTCAATTAATGTTCTTTTTCGGGTGTGGATTGGTTTGTACCAGGCATAGTGAGCCACGAGCACGCCGCATCTTTTCCCCACCTTGGCCAGATCGCCGTCCAATCCATCAAGGTATGCTTGCATCACTGTCCAATTCATCATGGAATTCGTCCGATCCATGAATTTTAACATGGCCGCTCCGCTGATCAATGTTGCTGCTCTGCTGCTGCCTTGAGCAGGTCGACCAGGGAGGCTCGTGGTTCCACCTCGCCGACTCCATGGCCGTCCGGGATACTTTCCGGCTCCAAGGGATCAACGAACGCTGGCACCTGCAGGTAGACGCATCTCTGCAAGTTGACCAAGAGATGGTCACCCAGGGGCACAGCGGCGGCGCAAACTCTGCAAATCACTCTGCACCTGCGCCTGGTCGTCGTCATGGATACGAGGGGTCGTCGAGCAGGAGGTGCCGCAAGGCATCAAGCTCTGATGAGATGCTGCCTGATCAGGTTGAAGATGAAGTTGAAGTTGAAGCTGAAGCTCAAGTCAAGCAACCATTGCCAGCCAAGGGCGAAAGAAGCAGCGACGGGGCAGTAAAAGACACAGAACAGGGGGCATGGGGGAGAAGGCTGCGGCCGAGGACTCAAGTTACTAAAACACCAATTACTTTGTCAAGCAGCAGCAGCAGCAGCAGCTCAGACTCGGAGGAAACGGACACCAACACCGTCGGCGGCAGCTCCGAGTCGGAGGAAATGGACATCAACACCGTCGACGCGCCGGCGCCGCACACGCCGACGCCGCAGTTCGTCGTCGAGCTCAAGAAATGCCACTTTGTGAAGCAGAATGGGCAGTACCTGGTGAGAGCGTCTCTTCACTCTACTCGATCACATGCGCGCGCACTTTCCTTCTTCTAACAAACTCCTTCCGCCTCCGCCTCCGACGCAGAACGTGCCGATGGAGTTCGGCGTTGTGCACCGGTACACCGAGAAGAAGAAGGTGCTGCTGCGGATGGGGGGCGAGTCGTGGGCCGTCAACCTCAAGCACGGCCTCACGCCCACCGGCAGGCCCCGCACGTCCCTCCGGTACGGGTGGGACCAGTTCCGCGTCGACAACCGCCTCCGCGCGGGCGAGACCTGCTTCTTCCGAGCCCTCCCCGGGGACGACGGCGGCGACCACCATGTGCTCAAGGTGGAGGTGCGCAGGCTAGACGGCAGCTACGCAACCTGATGTGCCTCCATTGATTCGTTGCCATCTCAAGGACCTCCGGAATTAGAATGCAATGCACATTGCATCGTCGTAGTAGCTCAAGATTAATATGGTCATTGCTCCTTCTACTTGTGTTTCGCTTGGATGTGCATGCTACTTTCTATCAACTTTTCTATTTCCCTAATTGTTAGATTCGTATGACAATCTGTTGTGCTGGCTACCTGTAGGTGGAACCTAAAAATGTATTGTGCTAACTTGCTAGCTTCTATGCACGGAACCTGAAGAATGTGTTGTGCTATTATAGAATGCTTTGTGACAATGCATTGTGATAGCTTCAATGTGTATCTAGAATATGAAGATGTGATCTCACCTTCTGTCTCTCTATCATGTCTATGTCATTTTCTTCTTATCTTTTTTGAAAGGGCCATTTCTAGCTTTCATGTCATTAGCAGGAAACTGTTGTAGTTCACGAACCAGGAAGTTGCTCTCCGTGAAGGTGAATAGTTCACCAACAGGGGAGGTATAAATGGTGTGTGCATGCCTAAAAACGGGAGGAATTTTTAATTTTGGCAACAAAATGCGGAGGATTGAGTGTTGCTTTGTGCAAAATGAGGAAGAATTCAACCTAGGATGATAAAATTACATATGAACATTTCACAAATCACAACCCATATGCCCATCCCTTGATGAATTCAAACCTAGCCATTAGAAATTTTGACATGACATATGTTTTTTCAAAATAACACACTTCATTAATTGCAAATAACTGTTACATCATCTATAAGAAGAGGTACAATATCCTCCAATGTCTCCTGAAACCAATCACTAGTTGTGGAAAATTTAGCTAATCTAACAAGTTCATGGGCAACCTTATTCGCTTCTCTATAACGATGTTCAAAACTAGTGAGAGGAAAATCACAAGCCAGAAAATAACAATCCTCAAAAACTGTCCTTGCCGTTCCTGCAGACCATCCACCATTCTTCACTGTATCAATGACATCAGTATTATCAGAGTTAATAACAAGCCGATTGCAACCCGCTCTTTGTGCAAGAGACAAGCCAAACCTTAGAGCCCAAGCTTCTGCTGTGAGAACATCAAAGCACCAATCAATCTTTCAGTTTCCACCTATGTTTAACTTTGGACTTTTGAATCGCATAGCAATTGGCTCATAAGTAAAAAAAAGACTGAAGTGCATAATTGACATCTCAAAGAGATTTGTGTTTGCACCGGCAATAAATATAAATGGTGTATACGCAATAAGGGAAATATGAATGTTGTATCGCCTACCCTGAGCGCGTGACAATGGCCGGGTCGGCAGAAAGGAACGTCACGCTGCCGGTATGCAACGTATTCAGCATGCCGCATGAAAATAAAAACTTATAGGAAACGCAACCGCCTTAACCAAAAGATCGAAACACCTTGATTCGCACAAGACGAGAGATGACCTGACCTCTCTGATCTGTTGCCCACAACCCAAGACGGCTCGCGCGGAGGAAACAACTCGGCATGCCGTGAATGAGGCTGCACCTCCCGTACACGGGTGGGACCAACGAGTGCTTACAGGAAGGGCCTGCACATGAGCCGGCAACGCGGAGGCCATCCAATC